GTGTGTGTGTGTGTGTGTGTGTGTGTGTATGTGTGTGTGTGTGTGTGTGTCTTTCATGGACTATCAAAAACATCAGTAATCTCCAGCATCGTTCTTCCCCTGATTGAGCCAAAGTCGGGGCCCCTGTCTGGGATAGCTGTTTGTTCATTTGTGTGTGTGTGTGTGTGTGTGTGTGTGTGTGTGTGTGTGTGTGTGTGTGTGTGTGTGTTTCAATTTGAATGTGTGAGCAGCAGCACACCAGCAGATGGAGCTCCAGGACTGCAGGACTTTGCAGGGCTGGTCAGCTCAGCTCCCTACGTTGGGCCTGAAAYACTGTGCTGACCGACTACCATTCATCTGCAGGAGCAGCCGAGGTGAGCCACACATTCTGCATGCAACAACTCTTGTGTAGACTGACAAGAACTGAAAACTCCACKGTCATCTGAAAATTGTGAGAAAGAAACTAAACTTACAAAACATAAATCATCCATTTATTCCTTGTCCTAAATCACTTGTTTATTCAGGGCTGTGAGGAAGCTGGTATTTATGTCCAGCTGTATTTCAGCGAGCTGGGGGTGGGCTGGGAATCGAAATGGGTGGGAGGCATGATGGCACCCTGGAATGCTTGTCAATTCTGTTCCATACAAAGACAAGCAACCACACATGCCCACACATACAGCTAATTTAGAATCTCCATTTATTTTTGAACTTTGTGAAACTAGGGATGTCCCAATCTGACCTTTTCCTTACTGATACAATATCGATATTGCAGCCATGAGTTTTGGCCAATACTGATATTGACCTGATACAATATCAGAACAAATCCTACATACTTGTATTACTTATTTTGTATTGTGGAATGTTTAACAGTTTTGCTCGAGTCAAACAGTATAGTCAACACCAGTAGGTATAAGAAAAGCTGACATTTATTAATAACCAATGGGTTACATATATTTTTACTTAAACATAACATTCTACAGAAATAAAATAAGATCCTGAAAATTATCTAAAAAAATCATCCCCCCCCCAAAAAAAATTTAAAAAAATTAAAAATTAAAAACAAAAACAACATACCTTTAAAGTGTGAAATAACAATTCAAGGTCACTTGGTTATTTATTCTGAATAAAAGTGCTGCTGGATAGAAATCCTGGAGTTCTGTTCAGTCTGTTACATGTTGTGGATCGCTGAGACTGTACCTGGGATCTGATAAAGCCACTCTTCCAGTTTGAGGATCAKAGAACAAAGTACTCAAATGATCACTGGGACTACTCCCCCAAATCTGTATTTTCTCTTTTAGCTCTTCCMCCAGCTTCTTGTGCTCCTTCTTCCTGATGTCACCAGCCGTGTTTCCYTCAAMGTTTTTTAATTCACATTTTGAAGTATCGCTCAGAAAAGGCAAATGGAAATGGCACGATTCGAAAAAACTTCCTCTAATTTGCATAAAGGTTGATAAACTCGCTTGAGGTGGTCTTTGGTATTTTTGAAAAAGAGTTAATGCACAAAAGGAGAGATGGAAACACATTTGCCGAATCAGTTCTGATGTAGCGAACATTTACCTCACACGTTGATCAGCTGTTCTCACTGTCTGAGCGGTACAGGGGTTGTACGAAGTTCAGTTCCCCTGTGAAAATCTGTTCCCCCTGTTCTAGGAGCACCTCCCTCATATTAACCATTTAGGATTGGTCTGATGTTATACCTGGACCAGTGGTTCTTTCTAAGGTTAACCAGTAGGGGGAACAGATTTTCACAGGGGAACTGAATTTTTCACATCAATGTAACGTGAAGAGAATCGCATTTCTTTCTCTACGTCTCCAGACAGCAGTAACATCGCCAAAACTAGTTGACGACAGAATAATTACAATTTTCCGGATAGTAGCAACACGTTCCTGATACCTTCTCTCCATTTTCCTGAGATGCAACTTTTACTTCCTGTTTACTACACTCATGTGTCTGACGTAACTGATGCGCTTCAAGCCAGTTGATGGACATGTCTGATTTGCATTTCTTTGTTTGTTTATTTTTTTTTTTTTTTCCTTTTTGCAAAATTTTAAAAATTTACTCAAAATTCGAATTAAAATTGGATGGAAACTTGGCTACTGTCACTTGTGATCTCTGCATCCATCATCACTGCCTTCTTCTTGTGCTTTTAGACCACCACAGCATCCAGTTGGTTAGCCATTGCTGGTTTGTCTCTCTGAATCTTGAGGTCCCACAGCTCTTCCATGTTCCACTACCCTTGTTGGAGTCTCCCACTTTGACTCTGCACTTCCAGTGCACAATCTGAACTGATGATCCTGTATGTTATTCCAGCCACTTGGTTATGGCGCTCCATGGATCTTCAGCCCTGCTATGTGTTGGATGGTATTTATGACCCAGACTTGCCATTCAGCTGGTTCCTCAGGACCTGTCCTACTCTCTGTGGGTACTTGGTTGTGGCTGGCTTTCTTACAGCCTTATCATGATTGCTACTTAGCTGTGGGATTCCAAGGTATTTGTAGCTGTCCTGAACATCCGCAGTGTTGTCTTCTGGTAGTTCACCCCCTCCAGTTGTGATCTCCTTTCTTCTCTTGCAAACCYTTCTACCTCCATTGATCAGCTGAATGATCAGAAGTATCAAAAGTATTCACATTCATTACTTCATTAGAGTTCATTCATTAGAAGTATTAATACTAYGYTTTAAAAATACTTTTTTGGACGCTAAAGTCTTAACTCCAGCTTTTTACTCAAGTAAAAGTATTGGTTTTAAAACTACTTCAAGTAGGAAAGGAAAATTAATGAAAGGAAAAAAAAGCCATTAAAGCTTAGACCGCACCACAGGGGTCTATAACCCCACCTCCCCAAAAATCATCTTCCTAAAGGCAATAATGATAAATAAACTATAATAAAATGTTAACGTTGACAAATTTGAGATGAACTAGTCTAACTATTTCAGCTCTGCCATGGTCATCTAAATACTCGACTACATTAGTCTGATACAGTATGTTCTGCTGGAGTGTGACATGATGTGTCATACAGATGTGATGAATCATTCAAACCAATAGGGTGTCAGAATGGTATATATTTATACTTCTCATCCAACCACAATTAAATTCACTCCATCCAAAAGGGGCCATATACTGTATATGACTGGGCATCTTTTTTTTTCTTTGAACGATGACAAGCCAGAATGAAAACAAGCCAAAGTGAAATGAAATACTTTTGCATTTTTAAAATGTATGTAGTAGAAATAAAGAAAATTGCATGGAAATGTAAAGTGTTGAAGTAAAAAGTCATCTGAAAAATAATTGATCCAGTAAAGTATAAATAACCGCAATGTCTACTTAAGGAAAATAAAGTATTTGTACTTCATTACTTCACATTTCTGCGAATGACCGAGTGTTTATATACATATACTGTATGCAAACACAGGAAAAAGCATAATAATATACATAATTAACCCAGACTTGATGATATTTTTCATCCAGAACGATACGTGAAGATGAAGGAGATAATTGAATCTCAGAGCTCCCAGCCCTCTGCCTTTATGCACCAACTGATGAAGCTTTCCAACAAGAGCCAGGTAATAATAATATAATATATATAAGTATAATTGTATCTGTTGTCATCTGTTTGTCTTACATCAGATACGTAACTGCAGCCAGTGACTGGGAGTGTGGTTGTGAATGAAATGAATGAATAGGAGTTGATTTTAATAAAATGTTTGACTTGAATTTATAAGCTACATGTATTGATGTATTAATGTATTAAATGCCTAATTAARGCAAAGAGCAAAACTATACTGTATGTATTTGATAGTTTATTTTTGCCCTTGTCTATTTGAGTTAAAGAACATAAAGAGCATTACAAACTCTGCATCTTACGTTTAAAGCTGCTCTAACATCAAATGAAATGTATAACTAAACATGCCATATATTGGCAAAAGAAAACAATCTCTACACAAATTGTTGGCTAAAAGTTTTAATGTAACTTTTCATTAGTAAATTTGGAGAGTTTGTCTTTATTTTTGATTATTTTTAAATGTGATTTAATTTAAATGTGAGGACTTGCTGAATCCAACATATTTTTCTTTTCTCTCAGCCAATTCTAGGTCAACAGCCATCTGGACTAAACAGCCTGGCCCAGGCCTCAGTCCTGCTCAACGTCTCAGTCCAGGCCCTGGAAGAAACGCAGCAGGAGGGACTGCAGCCGGCAGACATGGTGTCACTTATTCAGCTGCTGTCACTAACCTCTGACATCCCCTCAGAGCCACCTGTCCATCCTGAAAACATCAGCCAGGACAACATCCAGGAACTCAGTCAGCACTTTATAAGTGTGGCTGACAGCATCATCAGTGAAGAAAATACCCTCAAATGGCAGGCCATCAAGGAGGTAGCACACAAACAAAGGAGTTTACTATATTCTCATTTCTGTTGTTCTTCTGCTCAGTAAGGATCTATCAAAGTTTCCCATGTAGGGACCCCCCACCTAACTGGTGAGTGCCTCAAAGAGGGCCACACTTTCTGTGAGAAACAAACTAATCTTGACATGTAGATCAAACAAAGTTTCTCTTAGTTATAGTAAAACCTTTAATATTAAAGGAGCTCTGTTTTACCTTTTAGAATGCAAAAGCTTCAGTACAGGAAACAAGAGAAGGATTTGACAAGAATCTGCAAACAACCAGAGTTCTCACAAGTGCTATGCAAAAATAAAAAATAAAAGTATTGAAATAAGTGGAACATTTGCAAGTATTAACACAATGTGATATACAATGAGCCTCATGATAAATCAGCTTGAAATCCATATTTTATTAAGGGTGTCAGTCATTTCTATTTTATTAAAAAGAAACCTGTTTCTTGTTGCACAGTTTGAAAATAAAACAAGCAAGTTTATAGCAAAGTCAAAGTATAAACTATAGATGAGTTCACCTGAAACTCATCAGACTGAAGAAGTCTCTTGGAGGAGAGACGAAGTTTCATTAAAGAAGGAACCCATCCAGAGGACCTACTTATTTTTTTTTCTTTTTGATTAGTCAAACTATAGATCATTTTTTTAAAACTTTGACTACAAAATTTAAACTAATCATTAATATCTTGTGATTTTGACACAATTACATTTTTTTGTTTTATTTTGCATCCTTGTTTTTTAGAAGGTGACCTAGGTAGAAGTTTTTTTTTAAATTTTTTTGCTAGTTTTTTTTTTTCAATTGTGGGCGCAACTTCTACATGRTATTTCTACAAACCACAGTTTACAGTTTATCACATAAATAACAGTTTAGGTTTTATAATATTTGGCGATTGTACTACAGAGGATTCAACTTGGAAGATGTCAGTAACATTTGAATTCTCTGCATATTTAATAATAATAATGCACCAGTCATACCGTGCTTTTTGAGACCTTCAGAGATGATTTATAATTTCATGCATCAGTCATTCACACACTGATGATGGTAAGCTACATTGTAGCCACAGCTGCCCTGGGGCACACTGGCAGAGGTGGGGCTGCCATGCCCCGGCGCCACTGGACCCTCAGACCACGATCAGTAGGCAAAATGGGTGAAGTGTCTTGCCCGAGGACACAAAGACTGAGACAGCTGCAACTGCAAACCAGTAACCCACCAGTTACAGGACAACTCCCCTAACCACATCTGCCCACCTTTACAGACAAACTCTTCTGACTCCCACAGAGTTTCTGGTACATATTCAAACTATAATAATCAAAACAAGCATTTTTGTCTTCAGTAGCTCAGAGTGTCTCTCACTGTCTTTGAAATTCAATTCAATTCAATTCAAT